CCTTTGACTTGACGTAGCCCCATTTCGCTTCGGGTATTCTCTCCAAAATATCCATCACCCTTGTTTTTATGAACTTATCCTTGTTTTTGGAGTTGTGAATCCATGCCAAGGAAATCATGGAATCACTCCAAGCAAAAGTTGGTGTTGCTGACTTCAATACTCCTTTGATCTTCTGTAGTAGTTTAGCCAATAGATGTGTTGCACAAAGTTCCAGCTTTGGAAGCGTCTTCCTATTTTTTACTGGATTTACCTTACTTTTTGCAGCCACTATGGTCACCTGCGAATTTACCTTAAGGTATACGACTGCTGCATAAGCCTTCTCGGAAGCATCTGCAAACCCATGTAACTGTGCAGTTTTGTCTTCCAATATTCCAAACCATCTTGGAATCCTTAAATTTTCTAAAGCAGGCAGACTGTATGTAAACTGCCGCCAATCTCCACTCAATTTCTCCTCCAATGGCACATCCCATTCTATTTGTTGTATCCATAACTGCTGTATAAATAGTTTTGCTGTTACCGTGACTGGCGTCAGCCAACCTAATGGATCGAATATTTGTGCCAGTCTTGACAATGCTATTCGTTTTGTCAACTTGTCTTCTTTTTTAATTTGCATACTAAATGTAAAGCAATCGATCTGTGGATTCCATTGTAATCCCAATGTTTTCAAGCATTCATCTTCTTCTATTCTCAGCACTTCATTTTCTTCATTCAATTTCACCGCACTCAATACTTCAGGAGAGTTTGATATCCATTTTCTTAAATGAAACCCATAATCCTCCAGTTGCAGCGTTATCTTCTTCTGCACCTCCCTGCATTCTTGTTTTGTATTCGCTCCTGTTAAAAGGTCGTCCATGTAGAAATCTTCTTTGATCCTCTGAGCGATTTCTTGATTCTGGCATCTATTTCCAATTTCTATGAGCGATCTTACAGCCAGAAATGGTGCTGATGCAGTGCCATATGTTACCGTAGTAAGTTTATATTGTTGGATAGGCTCCGACGGATTACTCCTCCACAACACATGTTGGTATTCCTGGTCTTCTTTTTCAACTTTAATCTGACGAAACATTTTCTCCACATCAGCTGAGATGACAAACTTCCACGATCTCCACTTTGTTACAATGTCAAATATATCTTTTTGAAGCCTTGGTCCCACGTGAAGTATGTCATTCAGCGACTTCCCATTTGAAGTTGTCGATGAAGCATCAAATACCACTCTAACTTTTGTGGTTAGACTTGTTTCACGTACCACTGCTTGGTGCGGCATATAATACAAAGCCTTCTTACTTGGATCCACCTTTACCATTTGGCCCATGGATATGAGCTCGTTCATTGTTTTCTCGTACTCTGACTTTAATTCCGCATTATTTTCTAATCTTTTTTCCAAGTTTATAAACCTCGCCATGGCTCTTTTATATGAATCTCCCAAATCTTTTTCTTCAATTAACGGCAAACGCACGACAAATCTTCCTGAATTGTCTCGGCGTGTTGTGTCTTCATATAACTTAAGGCAGTATTCGTCTTCTTCGGTCGTTTTTTCATCTTCTATTTCCTCTATTTCCCAGAACCTCTCAATTGTTGTTGTTGCTGCCGATTTCTTTATGTTCAATCCAGGATTTACTACTACTGTTCCAGATAAAATCCAACCCAACTTCGTATTTTGTCCCACAATTTGCTCATCGTGGCGAACTCCTTCTTCCAATATTTGTGAGTAAAGATCGGCTCCAATGACTAAATCGATTCTTTCCGGGCTGTTGAAATTTGGATCTGCCAAATTTACATTTCTCCATTTATCCACGTCATATTGAAACCTTCTGTCGGGATGTGCTGATGCAAGTGCTGGAAGGACTAGTGCTTCTGCCTTAATCATTATGTTGCTCAAAAATCTGGGTCGTAGTTCCAGTGCAACTTTAGATTTCGCCACGCCAACTAGGGTCTCTCCTAGACCTTGTAACCTCACTTCTGTCTTCTTCCTTGGTAGCTGCAACAGTTGAGCCGCGTCCTCTGATATGGATGTAATTTGTGATCCTTGGTCTATCAGCGCTTTGACTGTTACAAATTCTCCATGCAGTGATTTTATACGAACTTGGGCTGTTGCTAGCAGAACATTTGTTGTTGTATTGGTGGTCATTGCTTTCGTATGTCCTCTTCGCTCTAAATGCATCACTGTGATGTGATTCATTCCACACTTCTGGCATTTAATTTCATTGTAACATTTTTTATCCTTGTTGTGGCTTAAGCATCTGAGGCAGACCTGTGCTGATCTTGCCCAATTGTATCTTTCATTCGAAGATAACGCCGAAAATTTTCTGCACCATGCGATATCATGTCCGCTCATTTTACAGAACTTACATTGTTTTAATTCCGCTACCACTGCTGATTTTTCTTGGAGTTTGTACAGTCCTATGTTATTGTGTTTTCTGCCTACTGAAGCTTCCAAGGCTTGAAACTGCTGCTCCAGGAAGTCCATCACATCCTCAAGTTTTTGGATGTCCTTGGATTTCTTTACATTCTGCTCATAAAGAATAAGCCCATCCTTATCCAGTTTCCGTATAATTATTCGGGCTAAAATGGGATCCGCTTGCTCTAGGGGAATATCCATTGCTTTCAACGCCTGAATACTTTCATTTACATTGTCCAGCAAATTTCTTATGCTTATTGCTGACAGGCTGTTGATGTTTTGATGGTCCAGTATTCTATCTACCAATTTAGTGAATAAAATTCTCCTGTTGCCATATCTTTTTTCCAGTAATTCCCATGCTGCTTCATAATTTGCCTCGGTCACTTGAAGATGTTGCACCAAGCGAAATGCCTCTCCTTTTAGATTTGTCTTGAGGTAGTACAGTTTTTGAACTTTTGATAATTTGGAGTTTTCATCAATCATCTTTTTAAATAAATCGTGAAATGAACTCCACTCTTCCACATGACCACTAAAGGATGGTATTTGAACTCTTTTTAGTTCTACTTCCAGTGACTCCTCTTTAAGACCATCTATCCTTCTTATCATATCCTGCATTTTGCTCTCAAACTTTTCTTCAATTTCTTCAAATTCGAGATCTACCTCTTCCATTCCATGCACCGTTGAGAGCTCGAGATGCAATTTCCTAATTTCATCCATATGCTTCTCCCACGATGACTTCATGTACTCCAAAGCATATTTTGATAGTCCAGCTAAATCGCTTTCAACGGCATCGGCGAGTTTGTTTACTTTTTTCCTGAATTGGTAGATGATTGCGCTTACTTTTATATTCGCCTGATTGCCCATTGGTGATGATTCTATATGGGTTTGTCTTTCTTCCTCATTTTCTCTTTTATTCTTCTCGAACATCAACATAAATTGTTGCATTTGTTGTTGCATCTGTTGTTGCATTTCCTCTTGGAAGGCCTTTAACTGTTGATCGAGCATTAGCCCATGCACTTCGGGCTCTGCTTCTTTTATTACCCTTTGCGGTTCTCGCTCGACCTCTTCTTCCAAACTCGCTAGGAGTTCCTTTGCTTTTCCATAGTTCAAGTTGATGAGATCCCAAACATTTTCTTTGAAATAGGGATCAGTGTTTTCGCCATGCACTCTCAGCATTTCGTGGTTCGTAGTGGCTTCCTTCATTTTGCTTTCCAGGGATCGTAGTGTGTCACCCATGGCTGCTTTCCGAACCATGCCTGCTTGCAGTTTTTCCTTAATCCCAATTACCTCTTTAAGGAGTAGGCTTTGGAGCTTATACAAGTTATGTCTCGACGCCATTTTTCCTTGTTTTGTGAAGCAAGTAAAATTTGTAGTTTTAGCTTCTTTTCTTTTAATGCCCCTGTGGCTTTTTTCAAAATTATTCTGTTTTATTTTTTTGCTTTTGTTGCCCCTATGGCTTTTTTTGATTTTTTCTTTGCCCCTATGGCTTTTTTTGTTTTTTCTTTGCCCCTATGGCTTTTTTTTTGTTTTTTATTTGCCCCTATGGCTTTTTTTTGTTTTGCCCCTATGGCTTTTTTTTTGTTTTTTATTTGCCCCTATGGCTTTTTTTGTTTTGCCCCTATGGCTTTTTTTTCTGTTTTGTTTTTTTTTTACAAAAATATAATTCTCTTTTTTTTTTTTGAAATATATTTTTGTGGCCGCTGGTTTTTTTTTTTTTGTCGAAGGACCAATGTTAGCGGGAGAATCAAATTCTAGAACTTGTTTGTTCGTTTGTCAGTTTAATTCTAATTTTATTGAACAAAATGTATTACTTAAGTGCTAGTACACAACAGAAATCTTAGGGGGGTTTAATCTTATGCATCTACTTAAGGCTACAAACACTTGACATTTCTAATTCTATGCATAGGCCTAATGCAACACACAATTGCTGTGATCTATATTTACTCCCCAGCTGAGCGCATGTTTATGGGAGAATATTCTTTATTATCAATGCGTCTCCAGCAGCATGAAGTGTTATCATCCCTTATGCTCTTATCTTTCATGCACACACATTTACAAGTACTCTAGAATGTTGGGTTAAAATTACATAAACATTTTATAGCCTAAATCACTTAACGATCTAATTTATTGCAGCAGTCTTTCATGTTCATAGTTTTATGAACACCCTTGTTGGTCAGAGTACCCTTTCAGAGGATCTTCAGAGGACAGGAGACACTTTAAGAGTCCTCCACCTACATTCATCTTATTATTTACATTCGAAATCCTTTTCAAAGTTATTTAAGTAAAGAAGTAATTTATATTTTTTAATGAACCCTTAAGCCAACCATCCCCTTCCATCAACCCATCACCCCGCATTCACTGTCATAATTGAACAAGTTTAATATTTAAAAGATGTTTGCTTAAATGTCACAATTAACCTTTGACTTTTGTTGTTTATTTTATTTTCTCTCTCTCTCTCTCTCTCTCTCTTCCAACTTTCATTAACCATTCAATTGCCCAAACGACGACAATATTATCGTCATCATCCTCCTCCAACATGGCCTGGTTCAAAAATACCTGCCAACAAAAACACAAACAACTACAACAACATCTCATTAAACAGTCTGTATCAGGTACGATGCTCTCTGCGTGTCTCACCCCGCCTACCGGTACAAATCGAAACCACAATACCCGAGACCACAGCGAATGGCCAGCCTGCCGTTCAGCCCATTGCCTTGGCGAATGGAGGCGGCAATGGTAGCGGCAGCAATGGTGGAGATGCTAATAACGTGGCAGGTATGGGTGGTGTCGGCAATGGGACAGAGTCTGTGGAACAGTTGGACAACAATCATCAACAACAACAGCAGCAGCAACAACAACAACCACCATCCGATATACCACCACTGCCCAATAATGTTCACAACTTAGCCTCGGCCAGCATAATTAATGGGGCTGGAGCCTCACGTGTTTTTCAAATACTCTATCGTAACGAGGAAGTGACACTACGTGACGTGATCTACTTTCGGACCCACTTATTAGGTGAGTATGGCTTTCACATGCTACAGCTATTGACAATTTAAGAACTACTTTGTGCGGACGCCTGGCACATGTTTGGCCCAGTGGGAGAAGGGAGAAGAAGAAGATGAGGAGGTGGAAGAGATCTGACCCTCTGACTGCCATATGACAGGAGCAACATGAACAGCATGAAGTTTTAATGGTCTACACTTTCACAGAAAGTTAGGTTAGGTTCGAATCGGTTCTTTGTTGTCTGTTTTTTGGCATGAATTGCCGGTTCATTGTTTGCCTGTCATGTCCAACTCAGTAATGATGTTGCTTGGACTGATTCGAGTCGAAACAAACAAAAAAAAAAAAACGACAATTTATGGTGAGTGGGTGGCTGCGGAGTAGTTAACTCGTTATGGATCACAGTAAGTTGGATTGATAGGACAATGTGGGTCATGCATGTCAATTGGATAAGAGAAAACAGACACATTTTTGAGGTCTACATTTAATGTGGACCAAAAATATTTTTCAAGGACTCCTTAAATGTAGTTTTTAAAACAGAATATTTTTTCATTGACTTCCTTTGTACGAGAATTGTTATTAGAAATATGTGTTTCTTTTTAATATTTTTCGAAGGACTATTAAGGGACATTTTTATATTATTGTAAAGGATTTTTTTATAATTTTTTTAAGGACTATGAAACTTAGATTTTGAACTAATTTTTTTAAGACTATCGACAGATATGGATAAACATTTTTCAAGAAATAGAGCCACCTCGAAAAATAAATTGTAGACCCCACAAAGTATATATATATATATATATATATATATATATATATATATATATATATATATATATATATATATATATATATATATATATATATATATATATATTCTTGATCAGCATAAAATTCTGTCGATTTAGCGATGTCCGTCCGTCTGCCTGTCTGTGGAAATCACTCTTGCTTCCGAACAAAATAAAGTAAGTTGATCAAATTTTACTCAAATATATATTATGTCTGCAGGATTTTTGGTATCGTAAATGGACCATGTAGGTCCACTTTTTGGTATAGCCCTCATATAACGGTACCTCCTGATATTCGGCTTTTTAATGGTTTTAGCGACATTATTCACCGGAATTGTTTCAAATTTGGTATTTGATATTCGTAATGGATCCTATAGCATATGACATGAGATTGTCTGTGCAGGTCCACATCTTCGTATAGCCCCCATATAACGGTACCACCCGATATTCGGTACTTTAATGATTTTAGCGACATTATTCACCGGAATTGTTTCAAATTTGATATTTGAAGTTCGTAATGGATACTACAGCCCAAGACTGAAAATTGTCTGTGCAGATCCACGTCTTCGTATAGCCCCCATATGACGGTACCTCCCGATATCCGGTATTTTGGTCATTAAAGCGACATTATTCACCGGAATTATTTCACATTTGGTATTTGAAGTTCGTAATGGATGCTCCAGCTCAAGACTGAAAATTGTCTGTGCAGGTCCACGCCTTCGTATAGCCCCCATACAACAGTACCTTCCGATATTCGGTATTTTGATAATTTTAGCGACATTATTCTCCAGAATTGTTTCAAATTTGGTATTGGAAGTTCGTAATGAATACTAAGTCTATGACAGAAAATTGCGCGTGCAGGTCCACGTCTTCGTATAGCCCCCCTATAACGGCACCTCCCGATATTCGGTATTTTGATAATTTTAGCGACATTATTCACCAGAATTGTTTCAAATTTGGTATTGGAAGTTCGTAATGGATACTACAGACCAAGAGTGAAAATTGTCTGAGCAGGTCGGTACCTCCCGATATTCGATATTTTGATTATTTTAGCTATATTATTCACCGATTTTTTTTAGGTTTCGCATTTGAATATTGTAATGGCTTGCAGGTCCATGTCGTTGTATAGACCCTAATATAACAGCTACATTCTGTACTTTTAAGATTTTAACAGCATTTTTAACGGATTTTATTGTTTTTGAGAATTGCTAAATTCGTTCCAAATGGTTGTAGGTTATTCAAAGTTCGGCCCGGCCGGACTTACAGGTTTTTTACTTGTTTTTATATTTTTCCGAACACCAAAATAGGATTTTTTTAATTTAGATTTTTAGGACAATTTCTAAGTCGTTTTGACAATTTAATTTTTTAAGTTGCATCAAACAACAAAAATGTGTTTATCTTACGAAACAACCTATTCCAAAAGGTATGAGCTGAGCAATTTAAAATTAATTATATTTTCACTAATGGCATTTTTTTCCCTAATTTTCCATCATAACTATAATGGTATTTGGCAGGCAATCTTCACATTAAAATGTGACCACAGAATGATCAACTCCCTGTCATCTCTCTCTTCGCGCCGAAAATCTAGCCCCCCCGGCCCAACTACTGTTGCTGGCAGATTTCTGTAACTAAATTGCTGAAATTTGATAACATTTGTTAGCCAAACTCCACGTGTCCAGTTTCGGTTGGTCTGTATCCAATCGAAAATGTTTAACTAAAAGTTTGTACGTGTTGTTGTATAGAGGACTCTTGAAACATAGAGGCTTGTGAACCTCATCCCCTACGAGTTCTGTGGAGTTGTGGACAAATTGCCAGCATTTTATTACATTTTATTTTTTTTTTTTTTTTTTTTGCATTTGTTTCGGATAAATTACAAACCATCGTTTTCGTCATCAAACAACGACAACGAACACAGATCGACGATAACATTAGACACCGACAACCAAACGACCAGCCTGTCTGCCAAACCGTTGGAGAAATTGTTTCCGTCGCGACTCCTAATTTTGCCGGGTTCGACTGCCGCATTGCTTAAATTGTTGGCTGCTTGACTGTCTAGCTGTGTGCGTTGTTGTGGTTGTTGTTATTGCTATTACAACACATCAATTGTATGTTAGTCACCGTGCAATGCTTTTCGCCAAAAATTCTTGTTGTTGTTGTTATTGGGATTTTTGTGGTGTGTAACAAAACATAGAATGGCAACGGATATAAATATAATTTGGCCAATGAGTAATGACATTAGGATGCCAAACATTTTCAATATTGGGAGATGCTCAGGAGGCTAAATGCAAAATAGATCGGTTCTGGTGATTTTTAAAATATACCCTAAAAATCCTTGATTTTCCGTATCACACTTTCTGTATTCAAAACAAATTAAAAAGTATCAGTCGGTTCTGCCGTCAGATGTATAACCTTAACCAATATTATATAATTTAAATACATTCTGACTTCTGTTATGATTATTCAAATTGTTGACCCTCTATGGATTATGTTCCAAAGGAATGGGCCAATGTTGTCCATTTCGTATCGGATCAAATTAAATATTATATAAATATTGCGACGGACCAGGTTTGGACTTTATTGGTTATCTCCTTCACTTTATATCTGATAATTTTTGAAAATGTTAAAATGTGCTTGAGGCACCACATATTGTCGACAGAAGTATTCCATTTCATACTTCATAAAAATATTGGGCAAATTTACATGAACATCGAAATGACAGATAAAAGTATTGAAACTTATGACCCTTTGGGGGTTAGGTACCAGAAGGGGTTCGGTACCAGAAGGGGATCATCTTAACAACAGTTGTATGCATGAAATTTGAAGAAGAATTGTATGCTTATTTCGCTTTCTTCGATCGCTTTGTTTTTCGAAATCTTAAACCCTATCAGGAGGAGATACCTGAAGAAACGGTCCGATCTCTCCCATTTTTATACCCTCCACCAAAAAAGGTATGGAGGGTATATTAAGTTCGTCATTCCGTTTGTAACTCATCGAAATAATCATTTTAGACCCAACAAAGTATATATATTCTTGATCAGCGTAAAATTCTAAGACGATTTAGCCCTGTCCGTCCGTCTGTCCGTCCGTCCGTCTGTTGTAATCACGCTACAGTCTAAACGAATTAAGATAGGAAGCTAAAACTTTGCACAGATCTCTCTTTTGTCTGTAGGCAGGTCAAGTTCGAAGATGGGCTATATCGGTCCACGATATCGTATAGCCCCCATATAACAGTACCCCCGATATTCGGTATTTTGATGATGTTAGCCACATTTTTCAATGGAATTGTCTGAAAATCCACACAAGTAGTTCCTTGTGGGTACTTTATACCTCGGCAGAGAATTATATATATAGGTCCACAATATCGTATAGCCTCCATATAACGGTACCCCCCGGTATTCGGCATTTTGATGATTTTAGCCATATTTTTGAATGGAATTGTCTGAAAATCCACACAAGGAGTACCTTGTGGGTACTTTATACGTCGGCAGAGAATTATCTATATAGGTCCACAATATTGTACAGCCCCCATATAACGGTACCCCCCGATATTCGGTATTTTGATGATTTTACCCACATTTTCCAACGGAATTGTCTGAAAATCCACACAAGGAGTTCCTTGTGGGTACTTTATACCTAGGCAGAGAATTATCTGTATAGGTCCACAATATCGTATAGCCCCCATATAACGGTACCCCCCGATATTCGGTATTTTGATGATTTTACCCAAATTTTTCAACGGAATTGTCTGAAAATCCACACAAGGAGTTCCTTGTGGGTACTTTATACCTCGGCAGAGAATCATCTATATAGGTCCACAATATCGTATAGCCCCCATATAACGGTACTCCCCTATATTCGGTATTTTGATGATTTTAGCCACTTTTTCCAATGGAATTATCTGAAAATCCATACAAGGAGTTCCTTGTGAGTACTTTACACGCAGACATAGATTTGTCTTTATAGGTCCACAATATCGTATATCCCCCCATATATCGGCACCTTTTTTATTGGATTTATTTTTTTTGAAAATTTTCTAATTCGTTCCAAATGGTGGAGGGTATTCAAAGTTCGGCCCGGCCGAACTTACTGCTTTTTTACTTGTTATAACAGATCTTGTGTTGATGGAAATATTGAGATGTACCAAGTCCGAATTGAATCGGATGTTAAGTTCGTGATTTATGAGCTTCACGGATATTTAAAACTTCGACCCTGTGTGGGGGAGGTACC